AAAAAAAAAAAAAGTCCCAGAGCATCCTGATCTCAGCAGAGCTGCAGCTCGATGGTCCCGCTAGGTCCCTGAGCCCCACCCCTTGCCTTGCACCCCACATTTCCCATTTGAAATTGTACAGTCTATTTTTCCTCAGACTCTATGTACTCTTACTGAAGGGTTGTGCTTGATAATGAAAGAATTATGAGAAATACAAGTGCATCCTTGGACTAAAAGAAAAAAAAACCTTATGGAATAGATCTAAGTTTACTGACCCAAGCAAGAGTTTGAAATGGACTTTGAGCACACCAAACCTGCCTGAGAATCCAATTCTGACCATATAAGAAAATAACTTTGAGGACAAATTTCACTTTTCATTTCCAGTGCAAATAAAAATATTTTTTTTAATGTCTACCAACACTCTAGCCACTAGGGCTTTTTGTTATCTGCTTTAGATGATACTGGCAAAGAGGATGTGATCATTAGTGGGATGGCAGCAAAATCCAACAATGCAGGGAATCTCCCTGAAAAGATTCAAAAGAAGGCTTTGATTCCAATAGGGTTATGCCCCCAATTTCTGAGTTCACATGTTTAAAGGTGGGGGGGGGGGGGGGCAGTGCTGTGGCATAGCTGGTAAAGTCGCTGCCTGCAGTGCTAGTATCCCATATGGGCACTGGTTCAAGTCCTGGCTGCTCCACTTCCAATCCTGTTATCTGCTATGGCCTGGGAAAGCAGTAGAAGATGGTCCAAGTGCTTGGGCCTCTACACCCACATGGGAGACCTAAAGGAGGCTCTTGGCTTCAGCTTGGTGCAGCTCCGGCCATTGGGGCCATCTGGGGAGTGAACCTTCTCTCTGCCTCTGCCTCTCTGTAACTCTGCCTTTCAAAATAAATAAAAATAAATCTTTTGAAAGGCAGAGTTACAGAGAGAGGTAGAGAGACAGACAGAGAGAGAGAAAGTCTTCCAACCGCTGGTTCACTCCCCAGATGGCTCTCTAGCCTCCTCCTCTGGTCTCCTTTCTCTTCTCTCCTGCTCCCTCTCTCCTCTCATCTCTCTCTTTCCTCACTAGCTCTTCTCCTCTCTTGTCTCTCTCACACTCGCCTTCTCCCTCTTTTTTCCCTCCTTCACCCCACCCCTTTGGTCTGCTGGGTTTTAGGTCAAGTGCGTAAGCCCCACGTGGCCAACTGAATATGACACCATGGGCCTAAGGTGTTCTTAGGAAAAATGCAACTGTAACTGTAAAAAGACACTGAGCTTGAAGGAATTTCTCTTTGAATCTAGGAAGAACACTACCTTTGAAAATATCGCTTTGTAACTTGCTAAACTTCTTTTGAATTTATTTTAACAGGTTTCCGGGTAATCAGTACTCAATGAAACAAAAATGGGTAATTAGTACTTGTTCTAGATGAATGCAATTTTAACTTTAATTGAATTCAGATAGCAATATTTAATATCAGCATCTTAAGTCATTTAGGTGTAACTGCTAATTTAAATGGGATAAAGGCAAATGAGATAAATGTGTCTAAATGTAAACTTTTGTATACTCAGCATGTTATATTCTATAAAAAAA